ATATATATATATATATATATATATATGTACATGCAATAATAGACATACGGTATGCCATCGTATGGGAGATAGCTTCGCTAAGATATAGATGATATCAGGAGTAAGATAATATAGAATAGATTCTATATTATCTTACTCCTGATGATATGAACATGAAATGAATTGCGTATTTAAAGCATTTTCAAGGTGTTCTGAGTGCGTCGAGTACGTGAGTTTTGGCCCATATGTGTACCTATACCGTCTCTGTATATATGCGATCCGCTGATAGAAATAATATCCTATAGGTACGTGTCTATATATATACATTTCTATGGCTGCGCATGTTACCAAACATTGATATATGTTTCATCATATATTGACAAAAACGTGTTAGTATATATCTACGGTTTCATGCATGCGCGAACGCACGTGTATATGCATGTGTTTGCGCGCGTGTGCGCGCGTGCGTGCGTGCGTGCGTGCATGTGGACGTGCCTGTGTATAACGTGTGTACGTGCCTAAATAAATAGTATGAGTATACATAGAGTAAGATAGATGGATAGATAGATAGATACTGCGTAGTCAGCTTGAAATATTTACTGTGGAGATGCGTCAGAAGCAGATAATATAACTTTCATATAAAACGTCCAGTAATTTGAGTAAATAGTGTCTATGGGGTCGTGGTACTACAGGAATCCAGACCCTCATGTGACTGTAAAGGGGGTGTTGGAAAGTTAGCTCTCGTATTGGTTTGTTTGCTCATCCGGGTACTCGTTGTCGGAAACCACGTGGTAAACCTCCCGCCCTGAAGACCGCCATTTCTGTGGGGAGTTGGAGGGTCTGTAGCGTGGCTGTGATTAAAAAGATATCACGTATTTATCTTTGTAAATAACTGGATAAGGTTGTTTCTATTCAGGAATATTCTTCACAGGTCGGGGAAAGGAAGCGAGAATAGCAGGTAGCAGGATGGCCACACCAGGCCAGGTAAATATGGTTTTATTTTGGAGAAATAACAAAGACTTCTCCGTAGTACAAAATTCGTGCAAGCGTTGCCTGTTGATGGGAGCGTACCGGGATGTTGGGGGTGGTGCACAAAATGTGACCCTCAGGGAAAAGTTGGAAGACGCATATCGTTTGTAGTGCCTAGTGTTTAAAGAAACTCGCGGAGCGCGTTTAGAAAGTTACGGAGAGCGACGGAGATGTTTGGGATTTTGAGGTTAACAAATATTTTTGGCCAGATTCCATCGCATCACTCCATCAGATTCAGTGGTTACTGCTATTGTCACTGTCAGTGTCAGTCACTATTAATATTATCATCGTATTGGCTGGTGCTGACAGTGACACTATCAACCGAGTCTCCTCATAGATTAGCTCCAAGAAACGGTATTGCTAGGGTTACAATACCGTATAGACAATCCTATTGGCAGTATTGCATATACTACGTACTATACCGTATAGACAATACTGTATAGACAATCCGTCGCACAGCCTGGTCGGGCTACTCATAGATCTCCACCATGTCAACTTCTCGACAATCCAGACACTATAAACTCTTAAACACTTCGTCCGTTTCCAATGACATAAGTCATAACACTGTTGTTGACAGCAATGACATTGATATTGACAACAACATTGTCAACAATTTTTTTAAGGATGAAAAATTCAAACAGCATGTAGTATAAGTAAATAACATGCAAAAGCTTCTATTTGAATTTATTTATTTCTAAAGTAATTTTTCATTTTGAACAACAATGTCAATGACAATGTGCACATAAAGTGATAAACGAAACAATATGCTGCTGGTTTCTAGCAAGGTAGAGGTTCAATAGCTGAACCAGAAGAGCATTTACTTTGAATTTATTGATGCATTCATTGCTGTACTTATCTGTGCCTTCCTCCACAATTAATATCTATGTGAATCAAGCTCAGGGCCATAGGCTGAGCAAATTTCTAGGGGGCAAAATTTGATGACTCGACTGTGTAATGATGAGCGACGGGCGCAGCTCTTGATCGACGTCCATAGTGTGGTAGGGGTGGGTCTGAGACAAGGCTTTCACAGATAAGTGACCAAAAAAATCACGTTATGGTTATTTACGATTATTAGCTAAGCTTATTTTTTAATTTTGCTCCATGATCTAGGGGGGCAGCTGCCCCCTTGTCCCCCACCCCCACCCCCACAGGCTATGGCCCTGAAGCTTTTATGTGATAGTAGGGTTCTCGTGCTGCAGGCATTTGAGCCTTTTCAATAATAAAATGACAATAATTAAACACTAATTAGTAATTATATTCGTTACTCAAATGTTCAAATGTTATTTCAATGTTAAAATGTACTATGTATTGCTAAATAATTCAATACAAATGCCGTTCAATTACTGCTGGAACACACAATACCACAGCATGCATTCCACTTGCTCAACATCATGAAAGATATATACTGTATGTATATATTTTTATAACTGTACAAAGTTTTTGGCACGTTTCACTTTTTAGGAGCACCTGGCGGCCGAAGTCGGACTGGAGCCTCTGCAGTTGAGACAGCCATTCGACCCGGCGGCCCATGATCTTGATCCATCCTTCCGGCTCACTAAGTTTGCCGACCTGAAAGGATGAGGGTGTAAGGTCCCCCAAGAAGTTCTGCTCAAACTCTTGGAGGGACTCGATCAGAATGGTGGCAACGGGCCGGAAGGTGACCAGTATCTGGGCATGCCGGCACCGATGTCTAGCGTCATCGGTGAGCATGCAGCGTGTTTGTGCAGAAAGCCACACAGCTTCGTTGTGATTGCTGCAAGACTTTTGTCATTCTGTGTTGGATATATGACACATAATAGATGTTATCAGGAGTAAATATATTGGGTGTATGATCAATGTGACAAAATAAGGAGAATTCCACAATTTAATGCTTGCCTTATTTTGCATTATATATCTATATAGATCTACCCCTATTTATGTAGAGCTAGTATATCACTAGTGAGCCTGGGTAGTGAGGAGTGTCTATAGCACTTGCTAATAGAACTTTCTGTGTGTTGGTCTGTTGTGTGAACCAGAGCCTATCATGTGTGCTTGTGTGGATGTGTGTAGGGTGAGCTAGAGAATCTATAGCAATAGCTGGTGCGAGTGTGACGTACACAAAAGCTTCTATTGCACACTCTGTGCCGTTACTTTTAGTAACCGTGAGAACTTACACATGTATGTAGTGCTGGCTAGCCGTGAGCGTGAGTGTGCGTGTGGTTAGTGGGAACGGGTACACAGCTCGCTGTTGCAGGGATCGGTATGGACTCCTCGGTGGTGCCGTTAAGACATGGAGGATTGTTCCTAGTGCAAACAACAGATTTCTTCTACCCACTGGTGGAGGATCCATACATGATGGTAGGTAGTGCATCTCACAGGTGTGCGTACATGTCTATACAGTGTTTCCCTTGCATTGACACGAGTGAGGCAGGCCGCCTCGCTCAAATTCTCAGCCAGCACACAGAAATTTCTCCAAAACACCGCCTCGCTGACGGAAATCACTGTTCTTTCATCAATATACTAGACTTTATTGAACTAAAATCGAAATATAGCTTAGAATGCACCAAATTGCACCATGTTTTCAAAAAAAATTCTTGCGGTTCTTGCTTTGCTAGGACCTCTAAACGTGCAAACACACCAAAGTAGACGGCACAGTAGGTTTGTGACTGATTGATGATTTCTGTTGCTGGCAGGGGCGCATCACGTGCGCGAACGTACTTAGCGATATGTATGCGATGGGAGTGACAGAGTGTGACAACATGCTCATGCTACTAGGAGTGAGTCAGAAGATGTCCGAAAAGGAACGTGACATCATCATTCCCCTCATTATTCGCGGCTTCAAGGTACTTCAAAGGGGGCAAGAGTGAACTGTCTCGAGTTGCTGTAGGTGGTGTTAATGATTCATGTAGCGATAGTTGCTACATTCATGGTTCTTGTCATACGTACACACATCAGAGGTTAGTGTGCAATTATTCATGGTATTGCAGGGTACGAAATTAAGATTTTTTTGCACTGGCCGAGAGGGTTTGTAACAGCAGTTTGTTACCAGCCCTCACCATAATTTACCAGCCCTCACAAATTTCGTTTGTAAAATCAATGGTATGTTTCACGCTTGCATTCTCGATTTTAATTGTGTAAAATGTTGATAAATTATGGCGTGATATCCTTCAGGTAAAACTGTAATGTAGGCTATTTGCTCATTAAAATGCTATAAATAAATATGTAGGTATTCGCTAACACGTCTGAAACCTCCGGCTCGGAGGGCCGGTGTTTTGCCAATGTTACCGGCCCTCAATAATTTGCCAGCATATGTCGGTGGGCCGGTGATAATTTTGCGTCCTGTATTGTCTCAGTGGGTGCTATTTCAGCAGTTATCGCAGATAATGCCATTTTAGGGGCTACCTACAACAAACAACCTATTTTGTTTAACTATTTGCTAAATCATTTATATATTCTAACTGCCTCAATATCAATATCATCATTAAAACCCACTACAAATACTTATAGTGTAGGTTTGGCTTATTTTGAAAAAAAAAGAGTTGTGAGTTAATGTGTTTTGACTGTGTCAGGACTGTGCTGAGGAGAATGGTTCACGGGTGACTGGCGGTCAGACAGTAGTAAATCCATGGCTGACCATTGGAGGTGTGGCCACCAGTGTGTGTCAGCAGTATGAGATGATTATGTAAGTCACAGTTAGCAGCTATGCTAAGAAGTCGTTCTCAACGACATGGAAAAAAGGAGAAATATATGGAAAATGATACATTCCGTAATCGCTTCGTAGTGGAAGCAATACACATTTGCACTAGTCATGCAGTAACTAGTAGAATTAAGTAAAACCACTATGGTTTTCTAATATTTTCTATGCGAATCCTGCTGTCATCAGCCTTGTCTAAATGGAGTCACCTTAACCCGAGTTAAGCTAACCCGAGTTAAGAAACATGCATCGTCTAATCGGAGTTTGTCTTAACCCGAGTTAAGGTAACGGCAGCTAGCGGGAGGCGGGGTTGACTGCGGTATGCGAGTACTGATAACTGCCGCTTAACTCGAGTTAACAATTTTGCGCGCGTCTACACGAGTCTTAACTCAGGTTAAGCTTGACCCCCTCATTGCGCGGGGTTAAGCTAACCCGGGTTAAGGCTTAACCCGAGTTTAGACCTTGTATAGATGCTTAACCCGAGACGAATTTCCTCGTGTAGACGATGCTATCGTGTATTGCAGGCCGGACAATGCTGTCGTGGGAGACGTGCTTGTGCTGACGAAGCCCCTGGGCACCCAGGTGGCTGTCAACGCACATCACTGGCTGGAGCAGCCGGAGCGGTGGAATCGCATCAAGCTTGTCGTATCCGAGGATGACGTCAACAAGGCCTATCACCGGGCAATGGACAGCATGGCTCGCAGCAACCGCAACTGTACGTACTGTCACTTCAATCCTAGATGACATTTGTGTTTGCGATCTAATGGGATTATGGGACGATATATTATATATATATAGTTAATGCAAACGAGCAATGTTTTTGGTACATTGATAGCTGTATTTACACTGTTTCAGAATTGGATTGTTGCTCGCGCCCTTTTAAATTCATTTCCGTGTGTGAATATATAGTTCTGTGATTGCCGTCGTGGTTTGCTAAAGGTATATTACACTTTGTGTGTTAGTTTCAGTTTCAGTTAGTTGTAATAGTAGTGTGTGTGTGCGTGCATGTTTGTGCACGTGTACCTGTGTTATATTCACACCGTCCGGTCTGTTTTCTGATTTAGCTGCGAGACTCATGCACAAGTACAATGCACATGGTTCCACCGACATCACAGGCTTTGGCATACTGGGTCATGCCAAGAACCTTGCCCGTCATCAGAAGAATGAGATCTCCTTCGTTATCCATAATCTGCCCTGCATTGCTAAGATGTCAGCTGTTGCAAAGGCATGTGGCAACCTGTTCGGTCTGCTGCAGGGTATCTCCGCGGAAACATCAGGTGATTGATAGCCCCTTTTACACCTTACTCAAACTTGCACATGATGTACGTTTCTACATTTCTACATTTCGCAATCATGAATATCCAGAAATCTTTCTGTTTCTCTATATAGAACAATATTGTTCTAATATTTCAGTTCACTAAAATGTGATGTTCATAAATTGTCTCTACCTACAGGAATACTTCAGTAAGTGTTGTCTAATCTCACAATGCAAATCTAAAAAAGACATTTGTCCTTAATAGGCAGTCTGCAAATTTAATAAAGATCTAACCATCTGATTCTTTTTCTTTTGATTTATTAGGTGGATTGTTAATTGCATTGCCACGTGAACAGGCAGCGGCCTACTGCAAAGAGATCGAGAAGTTGGAAGGTCGTCAGGCTTGGATTATAGGCATAGTGGAAAAGGGCAGTCGGACAGCACGCATAATCGACAAGCCACGTATCATCGAGGTTCCCGCAAAGGACAAAGAGGGAGAGCTGTGGTAAATGATGTTACCGGGGCTGGGTGCAGTCGAAATCGTCGACTAATAACAGGGAAATCTGCCCTGGCTGACATTCCCTCCATTTGGAGAGAAGTGTAATTTGCATCTCTCCACTTGTTCTAGTGTATCGCCTGTGTAGCACCGCATCTCATTTTATTTGTTCATGGTTTGTGTTCTGATACAAAATCACGGCTGGTGAACGTTTTGTTATTTCAGTCTGTAGCAGAGCAGTGGAATGCAATAATGTTATACACTCCTAATTTAGCTTGATGGGACGGCTGCATGACGGTAGCTTTGATTATGCAGAATAAACGTGTGCGTGTGTCAGTATATTCGTGCACAAATTTTAGCGTTGAAAGCTATCAATGTTAGTGGCAAAATTGAATGCAAGGTAGATAGGTGTTACGTTGTAAGCACAGTTCTAACTGTCGGTGGAACTGTCGGACTGTCATACCATGGTGTCAGTTCCATCGGTCAGAGAATAGGCCATCCTTGTTATTAAGAATAGTCTCTACGTTTGTATCACGTACCTCGGCACTTGCTGATTGTGGGATTTTGAGTGCCACTACGTCAGTGAAGTGATTCTCTCTGCAGTCACTTGACCTTGTCCTCATTTCCTTACTACCATATTTTCGTCGCATATTGTATCAATATGATCATCGTTGGCACAGGCGATGTATTAGACATTCGGCTGTATAATACAGTCTTTACTTACACTATTATAGTCTTTACAATAGTAAGTAAAGATTGAGTGACACTGCAGTGATTTTGACAAATTATAATCTTGCAGCAATTGCTGTGAAACAATTTGAGGATGACATTATTCGGCAAAAAATGCAAAAAAAAGGAGACAGCGTAGAGGTTTTCTGATATCCCAGTGTCTCACGCAGCGTGTGGGAAATGGGGCGGGAGCAGACGCCCTTAGACCCTTCCATGCGTGGCTCACTTGGGATTGGACAACGTCGACTATGCCTCTTGTGCCTGCGTGTGACGTCCCTCTGCCAAATTGGATTGTTCCTCTGTGGGGGGACAGAGAAACTAGGCAAGGGGGCAAGGCGGCCATGCCCAAGGATCACTATTCCAAGTTACTCTGTGTTATGTATGGATATTACATCTTGTACGTCCACTGTCAAAACATATTCACCGGTGCAGTAGGGCCCTGATGCTAATCATTATGTAAGTGTATAAAGTGTCTAGTGTTGACACGCAATTGCACAAAAATTTTTGATCAATAAATATGTTTTCCATACATAAATATGCCAAACATGTATGTCTTACTTATTACGGAAGTGAGTGAGTTGGTGTGTACAGGTTCAGTGGAATCGTGGGGAGCGGGGTCTTGTGCCTCCCTCCCGTAAGTGTTTCGTCTTTCTAGGGGTAACATTTTTTCTATTGAACACCTACATTTATTTATTAACGATGGTGTATTGCTAAAGTATATATGAGCTTGCAATCTTCCGTCAGTGCGATAATAAGGAATATAAAAATATTCTTTATTATAACAGAAAAAATATGTTTATAATTAAAAAGTACTACTAATAGTACTATGACGTATAAGCAGTTTCAGCTAGGTGTCCCAAATGCATGTGCGTTTACTGAAACTAAAGCACTAGCTGTATTTTAGGACTGCAATGTGACAGTAAACATGAACACCATAGCACCTTCATGGGTGTTGAATGTCCGACTGTAGATGGATTTCCGTCTTGAGAAACTGTCTGAAAATATATTTAAATTAATTTTGTTTATAACTTACAAAGTAGGGACTGAAAAAAAATTGGGTCTGGTGGGGATATTCTGTGAAGAATTTCTGAACAATATAAAACATTTGGTGACATTTCCTGATAAGATAAAAATTTAGAAAATACTACAATCTATTTAATTTGTAACATAAAAACTTGGATAAAACACCATTATACACGAATATATAACAAGCGTACTTCTTGAGGCATTCATGATAGTTACTCACAGCAGAGGGCTCTGCTATGTAACGCTTACCGTAGCTGCTTCAAAGATTCAAAGTAACCGCTCAGTGACGTCACCAGAATTTTCCATATACGGAAGGCGCGGCGTGGGTTCGGGTCGTGCGCAAAACCCACGTGTTCTGTTCTATGTTCGGCCATTTCCATCGTGGTTCCCTTGTGTGCTGGATAAGTTGAGGAGAGGTCTGTCAAATACCTCGTTGTCGTCTACGGAAGGTATAGTTATGATAATTAATTATTGTTTTGTTACTTTACGAGTGGCATAGCACATAGCAGTCGGGTTTATTTTGGATAAACTACGATGTAGTAAGTATAATACCAGGTAGTTGAATTTCGAATCTCCAGCAGGGAATTTCAGGATGGAGTCGCCATGGCGGGCATTTCCCTTTTTACTAAAATTCATTTTTGCACCAGTCTAGACGTTTATGTAGTTAACCTAGTGGTTGTGGCAACACGTAGTGGCGAAGTAAACCTTTCATAGTTTATAAATAGAGTGGTCTACAGTAAGTTTTTACTATACTTTATGTATTTCAAGTAGAATAAACTTTTGCCGCCATATTGGTTTATTGTGTCCAAGGAAGGAACAGTCACGCGTTCAATCGAGCTATTGTCGTTATCTCCATGTTTTTGGGGGAGAAATCGTATCGTATCGTATCGTGCACAGTTGGGCAGTTTTGTAGTGTGTGACACCATGCACACATTCTAGTAGTAATACTAATAGTAATAAACTATGGCATTATCACACGCCACCTGCGTTGCATGTAGGTCTATACTATAGTCTATAGACGTATAGTATAGGGTTCAAGGATAGATCATAGAGATGATGTCCAGGACGGCGCGCAGGGGTAGAAATAAGGAGAAAAAAAGAGATAGTCCACAGGCACAGGACCATATAGTTTGAAATTTAGATTTCCTCCTAAATTTGAAATTGTTCTCTAAAAGTAATGTGGCGTGCAAGCGTACCGGTACCCTAAGAAAGAGATTTTACATGGTGATAAAATTGTTTAATTATTCACCTACATTACAATGAATGTATCAAACGATACAGTAATTGTTTATTCACGTATATTGGGACGTGGAAACATCCAAGAAAATTACCATAAAATGGGACCAAAATATTCAATGGTCTGTCAGACCATTGACTTTGAAAATCTGATGGTCCTCCAGATTATTTGATGGCCCCGGACCTAACCTCTGACTATCGTTGAAATGGTCTGCTTGCGGTATTTCTTGTAAACGAACTTTCCCAAACGGCCATTTTTGGTGCGCGCCAGTCTGCAGGAACTATGTATTTCCGCACGTGGAGGGGGTGGCGGGTTGTGTTGGCTATGGGAAAAAACGTTAAAAGGAAAAATGTCAAGTAATAAATTAAGCGATCAAAAAAGATGGTACATAATATTTGTTTTGTAATGAAAGATGAACAAATTACTATTATTAATTTGTTACTTGACAACAATGTTTTTGTCCACAACCTGCCCACCCCTCCGCGTGCGGAAATACATAGTCCCCGCTGACTGGCTGGAGTAAGTTGGTCCGGAGCATTCATAATAAAATGTATACACCAGAAAATTCGTGATCTAAGTCAATTATAATGCAAAATTGTGAAATTTGTTTTAAAGGGATATTAGACTAGGATTTTACTGCACCAGGGCGCGGCAAACCCGCTTGCAACCAAAATTCGCCCCCGGGCAAGTAGCTTGAAATTGCACTTGCCCGTTCTGGCAAGCAAGTTTTTTTTTATTGAATGTCTAGACAAGACATTTTTCTGTTTCCATCTGTCCCTTGCATTTTTTGCACAGACATAACATCGCGCTGCCTTGCTGCAACAAGATTTGAATGAAAAAAACAATTCAAATGAAACGATCGTGCATACAGTGATGTACGCAACATGCACACGTGCATGGTTCGCACAGTCCTTGAAAAGCCTTTGAATTTGAGGGGAGTACTTGAATTTAGCAAATGTTGATTTTATGCTTGAAAATGTCCTTGAATTTTTAGAAAGAATCCTTGCCTGTAATAAAAAGAAATTTTGTACCATCAATAATGTGCAAACCTCAATAAAAATTGCGTTAAAGCCGCACTATGCGCATCCAAACGCTAATTTCTCCAGTACTAGACTAGCAAATACTTCGTGTCATGCATAATCACACTACCTTATGACAAAATAAACTCTAGTTGCTCCCATTTCACTGCGCGTTTGCTTAAAACCCACAAGAAAGAGGTGAGAAAACGCCGACTTGCGGCGAACGCCTCGAAGCAGTTAGGTGGCGTCACATGTTTTTATCTTTGCTACACCCGTACCGCTGTACCGCAGCACCGCTGTACCGCAGCACCGCTGTGCGGTTGCTTGGCAGGGCAACGCGTAAGTGTCAACAACATCGGAGAATTTGAACAACATTGGAGGTATTTTCAAATGCCTTTTATAAGGCAACGCGCAGTGAAATGGGAGGAACTAGAGGTTATTTTGTCATAAGGTAGTGTGATTATGCATGACACAAAGTATTCGCTAGTCTAGTACTGGAGAAATTAGCGTTTGGCTGCGCATAGTGCGGCTTTAAATGAGCTTAAAAAGCTATAGACAGTTGAATGATGATCACAAATTATAGTAAGGCACTAAAATCAGTCAGTAAATCGAGGTATGTTGTAGAAATGACAGTGTTTAGAATGGTTTATTAATCTGATCCAGGTAAGTTTTAGAGGTGACAGTGATTAAGAATGGGGTTATTAAATTAATCCAGGTATGTTTTGTTCTGTGTATGAATTCCGATAAAATGTCCTTGAATTTCTGATAAAATGTACTTGAAAAGTCCTTGGAAAAATGTTCAGTCCTGTATGAACCATGACACAGCAACATGTAAACCCGGCCCCCAGGCCAGGCATGGTCGTTACGTGATCAGCTACCTCAAATGTTTGCCCCTCGATCCACCGTGAAACGAGGATTTTTCTTTGCTGAAGTACACAAAAAACCGATACACGGTATATACTGCGCGGCTGTCAGTCTATTATACTGCATCAATGCACCGCTATTATTTCTGCGATCAAACCCAATACTAAAGTAACATTCCAGTGTATTTTATGTGAGTTGGCTTGGGTTTTAGCTCATCCTGACCATAGTCGGGATGCAGCTTGTAGAATCGCATGGAGCGTGGCGTGCGTCCGCTACAGTTGGGCACAAATCTAAACGCCGACGTAAACGATTCGAAAGTCGCGACGTGGTGGGGTAATCGTCCGAATAAGCGAGTTGGATGGTGCGAAAGCGGGGGTCAAAGTGAATAAGATGTAAAAGTCAAGGGAACATTCCATCCTTAACTTAAGGTAATACGGGAGGAAATGCCAGAATTGGCGCACAAATCTAAACGGCTTCGACTAGGCTCGTGATTAGTCGTGTAGTAGATCGATGGTTAGGTAAAAACCATCACTGTGTCTGAAGACTGGAGTCACAGTCAAAGGTGCAATGGGCACAGGGCAAGATTTAAGACATTTTCTGGAGGACATGGCTGACGGAGCGATTGAAAACTTTTTTGTTTTCAGCGGGACCTTCCATTTGTTATGGCTTTATTGAAAGGACCATGAAATTACATTTCCGCTACAATGCGTGCGAAGATAAGTGTCTGAAACCTTTGACGCCTCAAGAGAGAGGGTTAAACATTGATTTGTTTCTCAACTGCGTTGGCGAGTACCTGTGGTTGTGGAAAGCTCCCATTTTACAGTGAAATTCCACACATAACTCTTACTTGAACAACTCTTACTTAGGAGATAATGAGATGACTTATATATGAGATTCTGTAGTGTACATTATGAATAGTTGGAATACAGTCACTAGCACTCAAATAATTACCCAGGAGTGAGGCTGCGGATTTCCCAGACTTAATTTTCTCATCAAATTTTGGCACCAATATAGACGCAAGTGTGTACGTTCTTGAGCTTATTCGGTCCACTAATCACTGGCCTACCTTGTACTGAAATTAGTTTTCAGATATTTGCTATCGTATTGCTGTAAATTGTAATCTTGCACGAGCTGCTCTGGTTGTATCAACCATTGAGCTATTTTGTAACGAGCCAGATGTGCCTCGCAAGGGGTTTAATGTACCTTATTACCTGACACCATAGAATGCACGTTATCTATAGTAATAATATGGTAATTATTTGCTCCTGCTTTTTGCAATCTGTCGTCACACTGACAGCTGCCATGCTTTGGCTGACCGATGCAACGATGCCTTTGATAGCGGCCCGCCATCTATCGGAATTTTATCACACTAGTTTGAAGTGTTGTTTTTTGGGGTTAGAAATGAACGTATGTATAGGACGTCTTGCTATGCACAAATGAATTTATCAGCAGAACACCAACTTGTTGATAATAAACTGACACTTAAAACATTTAAAAATTAAGTAGGTATGCTCACAGTAGGTGTATGTAGGCTTTTTGTTGCCAGGTTTATCAATTTTAAAGTTTATTACATTAATGAGCCAGTACCTAAATTTTAAGTAACAGTTACTGCTGTAATGGTTAGCTCTAATTGTAACTTGTACCATTGCTAGAAAAGGTAGTTCATCAAATAATTAATGGTGTGTACCAATATCAGTTTCAGAATCAGTTTTGAGTAAGAGTCTACGTGAGACATGAACGATAGCACCTGCTACAAGTGTGGAAAGCCGGGCCATTTTGCACGCGAGTGCAGAGAAGGCGGTGGTGCAGGCGGTGGTGCAGGCGGTGGTAGAGATGGTGGAAGAGATGGCGCAAGACCATTCGGAGGCGGCCGTGGACGAGGACGGGGCACCACCACCTACAGTCGTGGTGGAGGAGGAGGAGGAGGCGGAGGTGGGGCTGGTCGCGGTCGGGGCGGTAATTAGTATTAAGTTCTAAGCATGCAGGATGCTACCTTGTGTAAGTTTTAGATCTGTCTATGGCAACTGCAGTTCCTAGCACAGGTGCAAGCATTGTACCTAACCAGTGGCACGATAATGGTTGTGAAAAGTTGCAGTGTGCAAGTGTAACATAAGGCAACCTTGTCACCATTTTCCAGATAAATATTTTACGTGAGTTTTCATTCAGACTGTGGTTTGAACTAGCTAGTATCGTGGGTGATCCTGGAAACAGAATGTTGATCTGTCGAGTCATTTAATTTTGTTTTGTGTGGTGCTGTTTAATCACTAGCATGGCAATCTTAGTGTTTGCAATTTGTTGTGTGGAGTAACACTTACCTTGTCTATGAGCTGACCACTTGTTAGGTAGGGTAAGTTTTGGGCCGCTCTGCAGATCGTGCGAAACACCAGAAACCATACTAGCATTTGAACATGGCTGAAGTTTTTTATAAAAGTTCCCCACTTCCCCGAATTTTCCAAAACACCCTTGAAAAGAGAAGTCTAGAATCTGCTGGTAGAGTTAACCTTGGCTTGCATGTACACTGGACCTATGGTTTTCAGAATGCGTGTAACACCTGCATCTGTGCTTGGTTAAGAAATTTCTCAAATATGTTCATAAATTATGAAGTGAACGTGCATGCAGGGTACCGATGAACACCGCACACTGCGAAAATATATTCTATGCCATGGTAGCTTTATCCTGCATGTATTAATACAATGAGGGAACATGAGGGGAGATGTTTAGGAATGGAGTTTTATTTCTTACCAGTTTTGTAGGTAACTAACTGCATGGTTTACACAAGTTTAATGCGATTCACATGCCATTACTATGATGCTATACACCTGATTATGTTATTAAATTAGTTTGTAATAATCACCACCCACATTGATTGAAAGTTGCTGCCAAGTGTTAGCAATTTAGCATTCATTAGATTTGTAGCTAGACCAGTAAGAAAGTCCATAATTTCATCAGCCGATACCCTTTTTGTTATGTTTTAGTTGCTCGACTAGTAGGAGGATGCGTGCAAACCTCTGTGGAAAATCCTTTTTAGTACATAAATTGTGTGGTCAGACTGTAACGTAGTATGTGTTATCTTGGTGCGAGTGCATCGGTAGTCCAAAAAAACATTTGGGTTTTTCTAAACGATCAATATTGTTCAGGTGTTGTAGTGTTGATTAAGTACATGCAGAAGTTCTAGTATGTGGAAACCAGGTAGCCAATAATCAAGGCGTATAAATTGCATTTCAACTGTACGTATGCATTTTTCCTGCTTAGGTGGCAGCTGCTACAACTGCGGTGAGATTGGCCACATCTCCCGCGACTGCCCGAAGGGAGGTGGAGGTAGCAAGACGTGCTATAACTGCGGCGAGTCCGGCCACATCTCGCGTGAATGTCCTGAGGAGAGGCAGGAGAGAGGAGGAGGAGGAGGAGGAGGAGGAGGAAATGCTGGTGGAGGCCCAGAGGTGAGTTATGGTGATATTGTCTGGATCTCTTGCATTGCTTGGTAGTCGGCACTATTTAGGTTTTCTTTTATTATAATGCTAAATATGAACCTTTATTGTTGTAACTTTGCTGTATTGAACTATTATCTTGTCACGTCATTGTGCATATTTGGATTGTGTGTTAAAGACGCCACCTAACATAACATTTAAACCTTTACAGTGCTACAACTGTGGCAAGCGTGGCCACATTGCCCGTGAGTGCCCCGACAAGGAGCGTGGTGATGACCGACGCAAGTGCTACACCTGTGGCGAACCCGGCCACATCTCACGCGACTGCCCTGAACAACAACAGCAAGAGTAGGTCGCCCACCTATGATGTGTATTCAAGGGCTAGAGGCTGGCTTGTCCCTCTGCTTGCACCAGTGCGGGCGTGTTACTACTTGCTGGGTCGCCAATCTGAAGCATGGCGGTTTCTGTTTAGTTTATAGTTGGGTGTTGGTAAGTGCAGTGTGCTTGTTCACTTTGCTTCATCCTTTATCCAAATATTTCGTGCCTGCGCTAGTGCAAGAAGAGTTGCTTGCTGCCTGCCCATCCTTTAAGGGTGCCCTGTCATTGCAGATAAATTTCTCCAAGGTATGATGAGCGATGGTAAAATTAACGGTGTTACTCTAATTTGTTTGTGGAAGGGTTTTCTTATCGGTCTTGTGTGTAGTGCGAGGTAGTAAATCCATCCATCACATCCTGGAGAATAATTGCTATATATGGTAAAACCATGTGAAACCTTCGGGCATGGACCACTTTTCGAGTGTAGGGTAAGAAGGAAGGAATTTAGGGTAAACACAATGTGAAACTTGTGATGGTTCGGAAATTTTTTTTACTTTTCAAAGTGTGAAGAGGGGAGCCGCTGTCCCTTTATTGGGGCTTGGTTTTGATTAGAACTTGTTAAATTTGGTAACGCTGTGTGCGGGCATTAAGTGGAGTCACAGACGGCTGCATCTCCTTTTCCCTTCGTGATGTGGTCCCTCCCCGATGGTTCACAGTGGCACAGGGTTGACGATGTCAGTCGCCCTGTTTGATTATTGCAGTTTAATGAGACGGAAACATATTAGTGTTAACAATGTATTGAGTGTAACGAAGGAAAACGAGGAACTGACAGATGAAAACGGGAGTTGGTAGCAGATAATAAAAAAAGCAATAGCTGAAAAGTCGATGACGTTCCTGTGCGAGCAGGAGTTTGGGGTGCAGTTGTTCTGCTGGAGGCAGGTGTCCAGCAGTGGCGCACGGGCCGAGATAAACGAGCGTTTTTCTTAGCCGTGTGCAGTTGTGACCAGGCTGTGACTTATCGAGATTCTGGAAGCGTGGGGCACGAGCGTGCTGTTCAAGAACCCCCGTCCTTTGACGTCGCGTGCCGTCCGCAGCGACCCGGAGCCGACGTTGGTTCTCCGTGGGTCCATTCCCCCTGTCGCACATTCCAACGGCTTGCCGAGTGGCCCGGCGTTTAGTGCGCGAACATTCTTACGTGAAGAAATGAGTTTTGGTGTGGAGATGTGTCTGGCGGGGGAGGTGAAAACCAGAAAGTTGTGGACAAGAGACTAAATGAATTTTGGGGGGGGATGGATGCAGACATACGTCGCAGCGTTGTCTGTTCTGGTTACACCGTAGCTCTCAGCAGCTGAGAGCTGGTTACAGAAGTTTTATGTGGGAAAATACACGGAAACCTTTTAAAACTGGGTGAGTCGAGAGTAGCTTTTTGGATAGTTTGTACATACCAATGTGCTCAGAAGACGAGGAATTTTTTGGATGTTGAGACACGTGTACATAGTATAAGCTCTAAGCTCAGGTATTTGGAAAACTCTGGAGAAGTTTTAACTTCAACAGCGAAGCTGTCGATTGGATAATGGAAGGCATGTACGTCATACATGGCCGATTTGGTGGGAGTTGGCGTTACGACCCGTTAGTGCTCTCACTGCCACAGGTGGGGGAACTGTTTCCCAGCATCTGCGCAAGGCATTTTTAATGCACAATTTTTTGTATTGTGAAGAGCCAGTGATTCACCAGTTGTTGGAGATGATGATGTAGGTTGCCTAGGCAACCGGATGCTGTTCATGAACAAAGTTGTTTAGCAGCCATTATTTTGGTTTATGCGTTGATCAGACCGAGCACTACTTGCGTGCCCGGCGCGTCGTGATGTGTTCCTATCAAAGCTGTCGAATCTGCCAGTTATTGGTTAGGTCGTCGGCCGATCTGGTGCAGGGTAGGACGAGGCGAGCAGGCTAGTGCTGATCGGTAGCCTATATTTGTATCTAGAGAAACGTTTTTACTTGTCAGATAACCACGTATATTGTCACCAGACGATCGCTGAAATTTCTTGGAATAAACCGTTGTAATCAAGTTCTCTCTGAAATCACTGTTGCTGTATTATGTTACCTGCTGTGTTCTAGTGTTTAGACATTCTTCACTCACTATTTCTCAATTGCTCCTCTCTGTATATTATTTCTACAAGTTTGCCTGAAATAGCATTTGAATTGCAATTCCTAAGTAAGCTTCCATGAGTAAACACTACAATCTAGAAACAACTCTATACTTTTCAATTTAAATTTTCTAAGGCAAAAAAGCATGCATATGTTGCGTATTCCAGTGAAGTCTTTAGTACCAGATTATGTGCGAGTGAGTGAATTATACCAGCAGGGTGTTAGCCAGGGGAAAAATCGTGGAGTCTCACCTGAGTGAATCGAGGGTGCTGCAGACTGGCAGCCCCCCAAAAATGGAAAAGAAGGTAAAATTGCGCCGCCATCTATCAAATTTCATCCGTCCGTCCAAGAATAGGCCCTCCAAAAGCCTTGTAGACGGGTCTCTGGCTAACGCACTGTACCAGGGATTTGTTTGTTAGGGGTTAATGTAAATCGTTTGTTGAATGCGGTTTGTGGTTCGATCCTTCGTATAGCTGGTGTGCTTGCATGCATGGTCCTGTTCCTTCAGTTCTTTTTATCGAAACCGTTGTGCAACTGCTTATAGCGGGGCAAAGATAATTTGAGAGCACTGGCATCAGTGATGTGGGTTAATGTTTCAGGGGTTTTCAGTGGTTCAGTAGTGACATAGTTATGACGGTACACATACATCTATTAAAAACAAAATAATTTATAGCTGACAGTGTAGTTGGTTTATTATAGTCCTAAGTTTAAAACTGCAAAAGATCTAACATAGTCGAGCAAAGTAGTGGGATGTCTACATATGCCAAAAGATGACAGGACATTTTTATTATTTTTATTTGTCTCGAGCATTGTGGACCACATTTAAAATGTCTTCTGCCCTTTCTACTCAAGAGACAATACTGCATATTGGGTGAGGGTGAAATTATTTACAATTAACATTTGATCAAGTTGTGCACGGTGAGAACATTTCCAGAATGCACTATACATGGGCTGGTTCATATATCTGGTGTTAAAGGAAAATTTGCAGAGCATGGTTTTCTACAGAAATATCTAAAGTTTAGGATCTATATTACATAATGTGGAAATCCATGCATTTGCCATAATGAACTGAATGTGGAGCAACTGCAGGAAAGCATCATACAAACTACATTCATACTATAATATTGGTTACATTGTTGGAAAATCTATTAAAGTGTGATGTAACCATCTTACTGGATGGTGTGGAGAAGCTCATTGCTGTGCCGTCATAATGCGAACCATGGAAATGGATAGGGTAGATTTGCCAGACTAAAAAATTATTACAAAAACCAAGGAACCCATTCTTCCCTTTACAATTTTTGAGGCATTTGAAATCGATTCAAATATTAAATACTTCAATGGGCATTACAAGAAGGCAAAAATCACACATTTTAATCGTGATAAATAAAAGTGGCAATTCTATAAAAAGTTTCTGTGGAGTTGGCACAGCATTTTAAAACGGATAAACCTCGCAACAAAAGCCTATATAGACCTACTGTGAGCATACTTGCAGTGTGCAAACATCACGAAATGTTCTCATTGAGCCAGAGAAGTGCTACAAACATTGGGATTTTCAAAATTACGTCGATGTTGTTATGCCACACAGCTAGCAGTAGTCCTACGCTAGCGCAAATAGTTCCTGGAACGAAAACATTATATTTGTTTCCTGATTGCATAAGTAAAATAAATAACGATATGATTTAAATAAATTTCAAAATTTTGTACTGAATAAACATAATAATGAAATATTGCTTGTTTTATCATAGAAAAAAACTGTTAACGATAGCTCCGCTGTGTCCCGGCTGTGTAAACATCACTGTGGTGCTACTTTCGTAAGAGAAGAAATTTCGTTTAGATTTTGAGAAGAAATGTTACGAAAGAAGCAATACAAATGAGTTCTAGTGAATTTTTGCAACATAGACGAGCTCACACTAGGTATATATATGCATTTAGCTGCGAGGTTAAGCAACTTTAAACACTGATCTCATGCATGCAAGAGGTCCAACCAGTTTCCTCACCCTTTATAGTAGCACCGGTCTGTGAATACATGCCCGACTACGTATTACTCCCTGTGCTGGCTTAACACAAAATGCTGCCAACGCAAACCATCTTTTGTGTTTCTGCTACGAACTGAAACCTAACTATAACTGACAGTATAACCTGCTTTAAGGGTCCATACAAAGCTCCAGACACCGTCCTACACGTTTCAAAACTAATACGTATAACCTTTACTGATTAGTAATAACATTCAGAATAGAACGCAGGTCACTCTTCTGTCAGACGTGTCTATGAAAACTGCACTATGTACAGTAAGAATTGGTTGTGGAGTATCATACAGGGAACAGTTATCTTGTACTTATTTTGGGTTGGTGACAACAGCAGTTCAGAACTGCACTCCCAAACTCTGCACATAGACTGTGCTGGTGTACAGATAAACTATTACAATTCCACGTTAGATTCCTGAAATGCAATCTTTGCAGCCATCTCGACGCCGACTCTAAAACACGGAGTGGAGATTTCGGCAATGTTAAGACCATTATACGATGATGACGATCGCGCGACGCCAGCAGGAAGGCATATCACGTTATCTCCAGTGTACTCTTATAGAATGGCACAGACAGCGAGGCCCGCTTGTCGTTGGATGGCTGAAGTGGCGTGACCGCACATCTTGCATCAGGAAACCGCTCGTGGTATCGTTCCAGTCGCAAGTACTTCACGGTGACTAGCTTTCCTAGTGAGAGAAAAACCGGAAGGTCATCAGTGACAGTGTACACGTAAGGTGGAGGTAGTCAGTCACTTTGTGAATGGCTGAGTTGGCAGTCATCCTCTGCTGAGCGTTTTCCCATGGGCATAGCTTTGCCACCACAGTAATCCGAACCATACAGAGTACAATGCAGATGCAGCTTTGCAATACTGTATATGCTGTATATTTCGCAGCGGTTCAACTTTCGCAAATTTCGCGAACGCGTCACCGACCGCGAAAATAGCAACACGCGAATAATCCGTAATTCATCGACCGCGAAATTAACTAGTCGCGAAATTGTCCATCAAGTCTGAATTTGCGAAAATATCTGTACATGAAACATATGGCGTATACATTAAGTAACGTTACTACGACTTGCTTACCGTCAAACCACCAGCCGTGAAGTGCATGGTAGGCCTTTCCCGCTGCAGCATGGCTGCTGCATTTCATGTACACACAACCCTAGTGAGAAACAAAATACCATTCACTCTTACCTCCTGAACAAGAGCAACATCACGCGAAAAAAGAAATGGCAACAGTCTCATCTGAGCTTGCACAAATAAATCTTGACTGGCAAGGGCGGCAGCTAAAAATGCATTAAGTTGGAATATCATTGCAGGAGGACTAAGGAGGATGCGGGATGTGGAGTATCGATAATATTAAGCATAGGCGATGTTTTAAACAAAACCACCATTTTTAAAGAACAACTGTCACAGCATCACAGTACTCACCCAACAGGTGGCTACTGCTCTGCTCTGTGCTACTGCTATAACTTCTACTTGGAAAGCTAAAAATGCACGTGCTTGATCACAGAAGTAGATGTGTGGATGGCGACCATTAATTACTCGATTTGTACCTCTACAGAGGATGTATCGACAGCGATATGGACAATGTCGTGGTTATCCGCACACTTCTCCAAGATGGCATCCTGCACGGTGACACGCCAGTCACTCCCGTGCTCACTGTAGAGTAAGACAGAGGCGAGTTAGCAGGGGCGTGTACAGGATTTGTACCAGGGGGGGGTCTAACCAAAACCCAACCTTGCGAGCACGCGAAAGGGGGGTCTGGGGGGCTCTCGCCCAGAAAATTTTTGAAATTAGACCCCTTTAGATGCGTTTTTTGCGTGAGCAGGGGGGGGTCCGGACCCCCTGGACCCCCCCCTGGTTAGATAAGACTCTATAACAGAATGCAGGTGGTTTTGTAAGCATGGCACAGTACACAAACAAACGCGAGCTGTGAATGAGGTGTGGAGACACGGGTAGGAGGTGCCAGTCTAGGACACACACGGAACGAGAAGAGGGGCACGCCAGTTTCCACAGACTAGCTACGACCTCATCTACACGGAGTCACCTTAACCTGAGTTAACACTTAACACGAGTTAAGAAACACGTGTCGTCTACACGGAGTTCATATGTCGCCGCCTACGCAGTCTACTGATAACTACCGCTTAACTCGAGTTGATGGTTTTGCGCGCGCGTCTACACGAGTCTTACCTCGGGTTAAGGTTAACCCGGATTAGCTTAACCCCCCTCATCGCGTGGGGTTAAGCTAACCCACGTTAAGGCTTAACCCGAGTTAATACCTCGTATAGGCGCTTAACCCGAGACATATTTCCTCGTGTAGACAATCCTTACATTTCTCAGATACACACAGCGAAGCTCTGACAGGCTGACTACATTTCTTCACCTACACAAACGTTTAATCTTATGGCCTTCCCTGGTACGACCTTGATTTCCATCAGGCTGCACTTACATGTCCTTGTCAAACATATTGCGTATCTTCAAGCAGGGCGTCGGGCAGTAATTCACCATCTTTTGCTGGTTTTCAAAGGCCGACCCCTGCCACACCTTACTGTTTGACGAGCCCTGTCACAAACAACGTTTTTAATAAATAACGCAGATAACTTTAAGGTAGGCGGCTACTGGTGCATGACGTACTACACAGTTAGACAAAGGAACATAATGTAAAGCTTCTGAACGTATACCATTTCGTAAAACTTAAACGTTTACAACCGTTCGGGGTTACGGATGCATCAAATGCTAAATACTGAGCTTTTTTAATGAAGAACATATGCGAAAACTAGACTGCATCCCCACGGAGGGAATCTGCCACATACCACACTGTTTCCGCAGGCAGGCAGCCAACGCCACACGGTGAAGTCTTCTCCGGCGATCGGTTGGACCTCGACGCGAACACGAGACTCGTTCTCTGACAGGAAGGAGACTGCTTTCAGCCACACTCTGTTTGCTGCTTGTCTGCAATGCGCAAGAAGCCCTCTTCGATGAAGGAACGGTAACCGACAACGTCGCTCGTCCAATACGAAACCAATTTATAGTGCTTGCATGTGCCAACACAGCATGAGTACTAATAAAAAACAATCTAAATTATCACAAACATTTTGTGCAATGATATAACATGACAGAAAGTTGCTGTTTCGAGGAAGATCCCAATTGTGACACAGTATTTGCTATCAAGTGAACACAATCCATATCTGAATATATTACCTGTTACATAATTCTTTGAACGTTTTAAGTAAAATGAAGAGTTTAAGGAAGACAATTGCTACAGTTTGAAATATGTGCAAAACATCAATGGGTCTATTAGTGACTTTCCTATACAACCTGGTTGCTTTGCCAAGCCATAAGGACTGTGTAACGATGCAAAATGACGCGAGCGAAAGTTAATGGAGCGGTAGAGCGATGTGGGGAGCATAAGATCGTCCTAATGCACTAAGAATAATTGATATTAAAAACCAACTGGTATTGTTAACCTTTGAGAAGACATATGGTGTTATTAGCTTTACAGGGCCAGTGGAGTCATTAGTTCTAGAGAGAATTCATAAGAGACGTGGCCAACGTAATTGGCCAGTGGCAACTCCAAGAGATAGTGAAACGCATGCATGGATGATGCAACTAGGAGTATAGCCAGTGGCGAGGAGGATGAGTTTAGAAACGTTCCATAATGACGCAAGAGTGACCATGATCACTTGACCGATCAATGTCCGAAACCAACCAATAGGACAGATAGGCGAGTGGGCCGGCATGCGAGGGAGAACATGTGTCCACCGAAAAGCCACGCCCGAGATAGATATAAGGTAGAGGCCGGGAGAGGCAAACGGGAGAGAGATGTAGGAGACGGGGGGAGAAATGTAGGATATGGGAGGAAAGAAATAGAGACGGGGAGAGATGTAGGATATGGGAGCGAGTAGAGAATACGACTGACAGATTGTAACTGTGCGGTGCATCAAATAATGAACATTCCCATGTGCCTGCTTCTCAGCTTCACACTATAGACGTGTAGTTTCCCCTCGTTACGCCAGCATCGTGACAAGTAATATAGACAAACAACTTACCTCTGGTTATGTGGGATCAACATGTCCCGTACATGAGGTATAGCTAGGTATGGTTTCAAATCTTTGTTTGTTTGGCAATTGTCATAATGTGTTTTTAATATATCTGTAAAAAATAAATGTTAATGCCAATGATGATGATGATGATGACACATTCATAATAAGCATAAAGTGTGTAGCCATATCTACAGTTACAGTATGAATACTTTGTTGTATTTTAATTTGACCTCACTGCTAACCTTTGCAATATTTCTTACCAATAATTTTCTCAACCATTTGATACATCTCTTGCTGCACTCTGGAATTCTGTTGCAATCGGTCACGCACTATCTTTGTTGATATGGCGACAGTCAACAACACTGAGAAAATCCCAATACAAATTAATAAAAAGGGGAAATGTTAAATAACGTTTATTATTGTTAATTATCATAATGAACATGTCTATATAATTAACGTATTGGTATGTTCATGTTATCATTAACATTTAAAAAGCAACATCGGCCTAGAGTTTCAAAGCATATTATGACTTATTGCATAAAAATAGTACACATCTACATAGGGCTATTATCAGATATTCACTTTTATTATTAGACATCAAAGATCAACAAATTAGGTTCTCCTATGAGACTGTGTGACTTGTGGTGACCTCTGTTGAATTTGTAAAACTTACATAACATAAGTAAATCCCAACTTAAATGAAATCAATGCAAAAATATTAATATATTAACATTTCATTCATTATTTTGGCACAGCTAACAAAACTTATTTAGGCAAAAGGTGCAATCTAACAGCAAGTTGAGGGGCGCAGCACGGTGGTGGGTGCAGGACGGTGGGGGGCGCAGCACGTGGGGGGGGAGCACGGTGGGGGGTGCAGGACTCTACTCACCCAGAAGCAGGAGAAAGACTCTGTTGAGGATCAGCTGTATTGAGCGCCAAATACGACACAGCAGGGGCATTGTGGGATATACCGACTCCAGCCACGTAACGCTGGACATAGAGTCGGTAGGCGCGCCACGTCTGTTCTTCAGGCGAATGCCCCAGTGCTGGTTAACGGCTGCCAGGTGCATCGCAATGTCGAGTGTATCTGATGTCTCAAGGAAGGACTTCTGCGACAGAAATAGGAAGAGAATTAGGCGAGGTATTAAAATTTTACAATATGCCTAGTAACAGTATTGGGACATGTGCAAGTAAAGGCAAGCAATTGTAAGCATGCAATTAGAATCATTTAGGTTTCACCAAGCCAGTCAAGTAACGGAGCACTTAACACTTCTAGTGACACACTGTTCAATGTAAGTGGGTAATAATAGATAGGTGGCCGTGTACCACTACCAGACTATCACGAGAAATATTTGACAATGGTTTTTGAAGCAAAGCAACCGTGCATGAATAAACTTCAGGATATCTGTACAGCATAAATTGTTGCTAATCACAGAGATGGCTGCAATGCATTAACAAATACCTACCTCTCCTAACGCATCTTGCAAATAGTCCAACGCCGTCTCCTTTGTAAGACTACCAGTACCGGTGTAGTCACCTTTACATCTGTAATCGCCTGAAAGTAGATATTGTATTAAATTTTACCCTATCGGTACTAAAAATGATCAAGAATGGATTGATTATTCTAAAAAATACACAATAAATTGCTAATAAAACTTTGAACTCCCTAACCTTGATATAAATACAATTTCTTGTATCCGGCTGCAGTTACACAGGTCAACTATGATAGAATTACTCACCTGCTTCTTGTGAGAGCTTTTTTGACAGTACATCAACATATTTCAGTGCTTTCTGTGCTTCTGCTTCTGTGTAGCAGTTCTGTGAGTGAAACTCATATAAATGTTATGTACATACCATAATGAATAACAGATGTGCGCTTACAGGTATCAGGTGTGTTTTACTGCATTTTGCTGGATTTCTTATTAAATTTTCTCATCCATAAAAGAGCAAATTTATACCTCCATGAGCATAGTCTATGAATTAGCCATTTGGCTGGCTTGTACTGTAATAGAATTACATCTATCTGCTGTATCAACAGCTACAGTTGTGTGTGTCACAATCACATTGAAAAATAATTGAATGTTTACACACACACATATATAATATATATACAGTAAAACCCCAATTTTACGCGCTCTGATTTAACGCGATGAGCCATTGGACCTTTTTTTTGTTCTTTCTGGAACTGAAAAATTTTGGGTGAGTTAAGCCGGCCTTAGGTCGGATTGCGATTGAATCTGATGTGACGAGACGCATTGCAACTTACTGCGACCGAGTGCTTAGGTGGACAGCGACGCGACTGACAGTGACGAGCAGTGACTGACACTGGCAGTCGCAGGAGCTTAGGTCGAATCGCCGATCGCCTATAGATCGCGCAACTAAATGAGTTTACATGACTTGTTGCTGTGTGCATTGTTTCTTTCGCATTGTTCGCTTAGGTCAACCTTTTTTAACCCCAATTTTGCGCGACCCTGCTTTTTTCACGATGACATTTTATGTACCTCAACGATCGCGTTATAACGGGCAGGGAAAAAAATTTAATTTATTTTTCTGGGGCTACTTTTCAAGCTCGCGTGGATGAAAATAGCATTCTAAAATTTGGTTTGCATTGAACTCTATGCAAATTTCCGGGGGCTCTTTTTGGCATTTCCGGGGCTCTTTTTGGCATTTCGGGGGCTAAATCGCCCCGAGCCCCCGTGTATTTTTTTCACTGATAACGGGGCCACACTGTATATATATATATATATATGTCATCAGTTTGTTTACCTCGTAGGCAATCCCCTCAAGAGTTGAGAGTTTCCCACACAACAGCAGATTGTCGGCTGTAAAGAAATGTGAATTTGTAAAGCCATACGCATTTTCTATGACCCTGTGACCCTCTGGGTACTGGGCCCTCAAACATATAATAAAATCATTGTGTTAAGACATGTATAGGCACAAGTCAGATACATTTGACTACATATTTTCGTTTTTAAAAGAAAATTAATGTTTAAACTTTTTTATTTTGTATAGTGAAAACTGCAAATGTATGTTTAAACCAGTAATAATTCCCACATAACCATAAAAAGATACTTAATGTCACTAACTCACTAATTCTAAGTAAACACACTATTAACTATATAGTGTTGTGACATTTCACAGACAGGCCACACCAGAAAGTCACAGATTAAATAGGCATAGATTTATGCACGAATACTCCTACTCAGAGCCCCAGGATCTATTAAGGTTATATGGGAACCACTGCCTTAGAGAAAACCCATAGGGTGCTAGCTAAACTCTATAGGCTATGCTACCAACTAGCCCTTACTCTGTATACAGTGGTGGATCAAAGATGTCACAAAGCTGTGCATGAGATTGTAGACTGAGACTTATTAAAACGTGACAGTGTTGTGCATTTTTATGCTATTTAAGCTCAAAATAAATGCTAAACCACTGATTTGAGAGGACTGCTATTTATATCGTCATGTAATTTCTGCAATGTGGGGGATTAAACCCCTTCAGGCCCCCTGGATCCACCACTGACCATGTATAGCCTGATTAGGCAGGGAGACTAGATATATGTTATACCTTGG